CTGATTAATCTTGTCAAATATTTATTAAACTCAAACAACTAACTTTTGGCTGTCTTGATCTTCTTATATTTTTTCCTATTATATTAATTTCTCTTTTTATCTTTATGATATCTTTGCTTATACTTTCTTTAGATTTAGTCTGCTTTTCTTTTTTAACTTTAGTTGAGTGTTTCTTAACTCATCAATTTTCAATCTTTTTTTTTCCTTTATAATATAAGAATATAAAGCTACAAAATTCCCTCCCAATGTCACTTTAGATATACCATTAGTTGTGGCATATAGAATTTTCACAAAACTCTTCAGTTCTATGTGTTTTCTAATTTCTATTATGATTTGTTCTTTGATCCATTTAGAAGTGTTTTGTAATTTCCAAGCATTCTAATTATTGCTTTATTACTTAACTCTAACTCAATTTCATTATGGTCAGAGAAAATGGCCTCTATTACCACATTTATGTGGTCTTGTGAAACTTACTGAAGTTACATTATGGAATAGCACATTAATTTTCATGAATTTCTATGTGTACTATATATATATCTAATTCTAATAATTCCACTTTAAAGTCTTCTATAACCTTGCTGAATTTTTGTCTCCTAGGTTTGCTAATTACCAAGAGGAATATGGAATAATCTGTTGTGATAGTGTTTTCTTCAATACTTCTTACAAGTTTTCAATTTTTTGCTTTATATATTTGGGGCTAGGTATTAAGTTTATATGATTTTAGAATTTTAATATATTTCTACCAATTGAACTTTTTATCATTATGAAGCAATTTTTTATCTCTAGAAATGTATTTTATTATTTATCTTCACTTTCCTTCAGCTTTGGGTATAATTTTTCAGAGCAAGTAAAATGGGAAGAATATCTGCCCCACTAACTTCATAGTTTGGGTATTAGAATTAATGAGGTCAAATAAGATAATGAATATAAAAATCCCTTGTAAACCAAAGGGCACTATGTAAATGTAAGATGGACCTCTAGAGAAAAATATTTTAATTCCACATATACAAAGACTTTTTGACCCCAATACACACTATCGTATATACTCACATCTATAGAACAAAGTAGCTTAAATGAGATTTAGATATAAAGGTTGAAAAGCGCAACTGCAGCCCAGTCATTACCATAGTTCTTTTTCTTTTAATCTTTATTGTTGAAAGTATTATAGATATCCCCTTTTCTCCCCCATTGATCCCCTCCACCCCCAAGGCTTCCCCATACCAATGTCTGTGCCCACAGGTTATGCTTATAAACATATAAGTTTTCTCCCCACCCATACCCCCCTCCCCACCTTCCCTCTGAGATCCCTCAGTCTGTTCATGCTTTTATGTCTCTGGATCTATTTTGTTCATCAGTTTATTTTGTTTATTATATTCCACATATGAGTGAAATTATGTAGTGCTTGTCTTTCCCTGGCTGGCTTATTTCACTTAGCATAATACTCTCCAGTTCCCTCCATGCTGTCCCAAAGGGTAAGAGATCCTTCTTTTTTACAGCTGCATAGTATTCCATGGTGTAAATGTCCCACAGCTTTTTATCCACTCATCTGCTGATGGGCACTTGGGCTGTTTCCAGATCTTAGCTATTGTGAATTGTGCTGCTATGAACATAGGGGTGCATAAGTTCTTTCTGATTAGTGTTTCAGGTTTCTTAGGATATGTTCCTAGAAGTGGGATTACTGGGTCAAATGGCAGTTCAATTTTTAATTTTTTGAGGAAACTCCATACTGCTTTCCATAGTGGCTGCCCCAGTCTGCANGCGCACCTTTCCCCCTGTCTCTTATACACATCTAGATGTGTATAAGAGACAGGTACTAGGGTGCCCTTTTCTCCACACCCTCACCATCACTTGTCATTAGTTGACTTGTTGATGGAGCCATTCTGATAGGTGTGAAGTGATACTTCATTGTGGTTTTAATTTGCATCTCTCTGATGATTAGCAATGTTGAGCATTTTTTCATATGTCTCTTAGCCATTTGTATGTCCTCTTTGGAGAATTGTCTATTTAGGTCCTTTGCCCATTTTTTATTGGATTGTTTGTCTTCCTTTTGTTAAGTTGTACAAATTTCTTATAGATTTTGGATATTAACCTTTTATCAGATGTGTCATTGGCAAATATGTTCTCCCATACAGTGGGCTCCCTTTTGGTTTTATTGATGGTTTCTTCTGCTGTGCAGAAGCTTTTTATTTTGATGCAGTCTCATTTATTTGTTTATTTTCTCCTTTGTTTCTCTTGCCTTAGGAAATATATCAGCAAACATATTGCTACGAGAGATGTCTGAGATTTTGCTGCCTACGTTTTCTTCTAGGATTTTTATGATTTCACATCTTACATTTAAGTCTTTTATCCATTTTGAGTTTATTTTTGTGTATGGTTTAAGTTGGTGGTCCAGTTTCATTTTTTTGCATGTACCTGTCCAGTTTCCCCAACACAATTTGTTGAAGAGATTGTTTTTACTCCATTGTATGTTCTTGCCTCCTTTGTCAAATATTAATTGACCATAATGGCGTGGGTTCATTTCTGAGTTCTCTACCATAGTTCTTTAGGTGGTGTTTCCTTACTATTGAGGCAACAGTGGAAATACTATTGAAAGCAGGTAATAATAGTGAAAAATTTTGGACAGTTGCTGTTAACAGAAGTCAAGTGATTCTAGAACTCTAATTATATATTTTCTTACCTCCCATTAGAAGCCACTGGCTATGTCTTTTGTGCTATTGTCTCCAGCTCTAACAAATTAATAAGTATTTAAAACTAATGTCCACATTCCACGGTGTATTTCTACTTGGCTTAACAGCTTCAAGTATATAGACAAAGGGGTTATTCTGGTAACACATGGGATATTTAATTACTATTTGAATTATGAAAGTGAACTGAGATTCTCAGTAAAAACCTTATGATGGTTTCTCAAGGACCTCTTTTGCTTATAATAAGCACCCTGATTTACAAAAAAGAAAAAAAATACTTTTTTAAGTTCCATGTTGACATAGATAAACTGCACAGTATTGCCTCATGCTAATATAGTCATTAATTAATGTTCTCATTTTCATTATCCAATGTATAAAAGTTGATAAATAAATGACCACATGTCCCAAAACATATGTCTATGATTGTCATTTTAATGTAAAAATCAAATTGAGTATTTAATCATTTTATATATTTATGTATAGTGTCTTTTAAAATTCTGATCCAGGGGTTTAGGGCTCTGCTCTTCGCCCATCTTATGCTACTTGCGTGGATTAGAAGTAGCACAAAAAACCTCATCAGACTGCAAACTAATACTATTAAAACAGTGATCTCTAGAAGGGGCAAAATAATAACAATAATACCATTTGGTTTTTGATAAGCATCATGCTAAGCACTCTATTATTTCACTGAAAAGTCACAGTGATCCTACGACAACATTAGTGTTACTGTCCCCATTTTACAGATGAGGAAACTGACACTTAGATTAAGTCGTTTGAACAAAGTAACAAAACTAGTAAGTTACATAATGGGACTCAAATCCAGTTCTGTTGACTTCAGAGACCATCTTCTTAACCACTCGCTACGTGATGCTGGAATCCCTCCAGAATGTGGCTAAGAATAAAAAAAGATGCTGCATGACAAAAGTTTTAGGCCTAAAACTTATGTAGTTGACTCAGGAAATGTTTTTAAGGTCTTCTTGCAATATAGATTTACTTTCATTTTATTTACAATGCTAATTTGCTTGGTTATCTGAACACCAAGTTTACAGAACAGAAGCGAAAAGGAAGGTGACTGATGAACTTCTATGGAAGGTAACTAACTGACAGGGGCGTGAGAGCTGACAGCTGGACCGGCCACGAGAAACGTAATAAAAATAATAGGTTAAAATGTTTGGATTCAGTTCCTTATTATGCTGACTTCTGGTGTGACCAAAGGCTGAGGAATTGATGAAAAATGAAAGAAAAGATAAACAAGGCCTAGTTAATGCAGGAACTAAACAATCCAAAGCCCTGAACAAGCCCCCAGTTCCTGTGTTAGGTTGTGTAAAACAATGCCCAGCCTGCAAAATGATGCTTATTTAGAACGCCTTGTGAAAATTTACTTTGTAAAGTTAAAGAAATTTTATTTTTTTAAGAGGAATAACAATACCGATCTTGGCGAATCACTTTGATTCAACTCTAACATACCCACAGACTATAATTTACTATTTAACCAGGTGTACAATAAAATGTTTATCTTTTTATGGTGACTTTATTTAAATAGAGGAAATCAACTGTTGTTCATAATTAAAATAAATCTGGCAATTTGCTTACAATCTCATATTTGAAAATAAGAAATTCTGTGCAAACACATAAAGGATAAATTTACCATTTTCATTAGAAAAAACTTCTAAGCAGGAGAGGATAGTAATGACTGAAAAACACCAAAGTCTCTTGGGTAATGTTTTTACAATGTTTTCATTTGAATATTTTAAAATAGATAAATAAGTCATCTAGTTCTGAAGAAATCAGATTCTAAATGAGTACATCTTTCATTAATTTATCATAATTCATTTTTCAAAATTACCAGCATGGATAAGTTAAATGATAAGTGATAAATTAAATGCCTGCAATGTATCTATCACAACAGTAATTTTAATATTCTAACCATTTCATGAGATTGAGCTAAATGTTCTGTCCAGATGAAAGAAATTACCTTATAACTGGCCAAACCAGTAGGATTACTGCATTAACCCCAGATTTCTTCTGGAGCTGCAGGGAAAAAAAGAATCTACCTGTCTTGATTATTGAAGACGACACAATTTATAAAGCAAAACTGTGCCCGTTTGGTTTCTAATGAGTTATCTAGTGGTTCTCCCAGTTACTCTGACTTGAAAATCCGTAGTGGGAGTACTTGAAGGAAGAAGGGAAAACAATATTTGTTTCCAGGATGCTGAGCAGGTGATGAGTTGTAGAGACTGGGGAGTCAAAATTTGTATTTTCCCCCTACTTTTTGAAACAAAGTATTACAGTTTTTTCTTCTTCAACTTCCAGTTTTCACTGAGTCAGCTCCATCTGGTGTGGTGGATCCGGGGCCCTCTGTGGCCATGATGGGTTAGCCAACCGGAGAGAATGGGGCCTCTCATCCCCCACAGCAATGGGCTGTGCCCCACACGAGGGGAGAGGAAAGCTACCCTTCGTTCTCTGGGGACCAGAGCCGTTATCACGGGGTGGCGGGATGCAGCTGCCCTGGTCTGTTCCCGGGCACATCTGGGGCTCTTTCCTCCAAGGTGTCGGTTGCATTGACGCTACACAAATAAAAAATAAAAAGAAATTTTAGAATTCACATCTCCAAAAAAAGACACCCTAATCGTAGTGATTGGAGAATGGGCCTGAAATATGCAGCACAAAGTGAACCCATTCCCAAACCATTCTAGACCCAATTTAAAAAAAAATTAAAATAGTTTTGATTGGTTGAGATGATCCAAAGGGCTATGCTATCTGACATCGCTCTTCCATTTTCCCTGTGTATTTCCTCTCTCCCCAGCTGGACCGTAAGTGACTTGAGAACAGAGCTCAGGCCTTGGACGCACTTGCATCCTATCCCTTAGCACGGCGCTCGGCCCCTCTCGTGGGGCTGCCCACTTAACCTGCACCAACAGATGTTGGCTGAGGTCAGTGCATGTGGTTCTGTGGGTCCACCACTGGCACAGCCTGTGTGTTTTAAGAGGTTCTCCAGGACTGGAGAAGGAATCGGCAAAGAACCAATCTCGATCTTTATCTCCACTCCATCTACCCACCTCCGATCTCTATGCGCACTTTCACCATAGGCAGTTAGGAGACAGCTGGACATGACTGGGGATGTGGTCACTCATATTAGGAGACAGTTACGTGAGTGGCTCACAGAGGACAGATCAAACTGTTTGCAGTAGAGTGAGCAAAAAGAGAAACAGTCTCATCTATTCCTGAATACTCAGCTGGGTCCTTAGCTCTTTTCCGAGTTTAATCATGTTCTGGTCAAATCACTGTACTATTTGTTAACTTGCAAAATTATATTATATGTCCCTCCAGAGGGGATTAACTTTATAACAAAGAATTATGTGGTTTTAGCTCTTCAAGAAAAAGTAGGATGTAGCTACAAGACATTCTATTACTTTCTAATAATGCTACTAATAACAACAGAATCCAAGCAACTTTTGAAAATGTTGACTGTTTTCATTAGCTAGGTAGCAACAGTACATATAACACTATAATATTTACTGTAATTTTAATAGTCAATTCTTAAGGAACACCTTAATATCCAGGGTTTTCCTCAGCTTAGGAAGTAAAGTTCTACTGAATTGGGTTCCATGGCAACATATATAGGAGAGGTAAATTTAGAGGAAGTTTTTAAAATAAGAACATAAACCAGTGGCTTGGCTGGACTATGTTCTCTCTACGAGGAAGTCTGAGGAGGAGAGTATGGTAGTAAGTATATTTGTGAAGGGCAAATATCAGAAAATAAAAGTGCAGATGAAACACTAGCAGAGGAACTGTTGTTGTTGGCTCAAAGTTTCTCTGAACCTTTCTCAAGGCTTATGATACAAAATATATTCAACCTTGTTCTCTAAGTTATGAAACAGAATTTTCATATCTGAGACGGAAGTTCAAGAAGTTTATCATAACACAACTCTAATCAAAGGTATTATGTCAAAGTGTATCTAACTCCATTTCTACCTGAGGCAGATTGAGTTCCAGAGCAGCCCAAGGACCTGGATTGATTTTGTGGCCCCTCTCCCAGTGGCTTGGCTGGACTTCATCAATGTCCAGGCTTCTAGCTGAGGGCTAGCCCTGATAAGGCTTGAATATGAACCCTAGGAGAACCCCCTGATTAGCTTAAATTTACAAGAACCTCTCCTACTAAAACATGGAACATGTTTCCTTGGAGCCATTGACAATTTTTCACTGGAACTATACCTACAGCTACTGATATAAACCCAAACCCCAAGAATGACCTCAAAACCCAACCTAACTCAAAAGCAAGGAGTTGACTCATTGTGTGCTTGCTCAAAGTGATCTTCAGACTGCCGTGCGACCAGAGTTTTGAGTGAGCACGGTAACCTCACATAGGACAGGGGTCCAGTCCGAGTATCTTTCCCTGAAGCTCAATGACATTCCAATACAGCCCAGCTGCTCACAGAGCTTATCCAATTTAACTGTTGCTTCTGTGCTTAATGAGACTTTTAACATTCAGAGAAACATTCAGGATGAAGGTAAAGATAACCATTCACCAGGCTGCGGGGAGGGAAACTGGCCAACATCTGCTGCCTGGCTGTCTTGAGGGGCCTCAGGTTGATTCCCATTCCTGAGATTCTGGTGTTGCTTTAAAACCACAAACTGCAGAGGACAAAAGGGAGGGAGAGAGAGAGAACATTGTTACAACACATAAATTATCTCAAGGTACGTGAAATCAGAGTTTATGGCTTCCTCATGTTCATCCTATGGAAGGAGAAAGCTGAAAGAAAGGCCCTGCCAAATTTATTTCTCTGGTCAATGAAAAACTTAGTTTCAATTCAGAACTTTATGTTACTCTCTCTTAAAGCAACTAGGCCCTACCAATACCTTTACTGACCAATCTATCCTAATTCTAGAATCCCAACTTTTGGGTCTTGGATCCATGGTGTCTATTGTTTTACTTTAAGCAATGCAAGAATCCATAAGCGGTCTAATCATTGCCAATAAGCACGAAAAATAATATCTTATATATGATGTGCTCCAACTTTTCAAATGTGTGTTCAGTTAATAACATTCATTTAAACAGGCTGCCAAGTTCTGAGTAATTAGGGTCATAGATGGGTAGTAGTAACTAATCGTGCAATTACTATTTGCAGGGATCCACCAAATGCTTTTCCATGGTTCAACAGTGTGAGAACCAGAATTCTAAAGGGCACAACCGGAAAATAACATTTCTCTTTGGGCAACAAAATGATTATTTTTGTTATTTTTGTGTTATCCACAATTGATGTGGCACTTGCAATGGGGGCTGACCAGGGTTCCCTGACTCACATTCACACCAGATAAACTGGATATTAAAATAGATCAATGATAAAAGGAAAGGAAAGAAGTAACCCCAGGCCCCAGGATGAAGGATGTCCTTCCTTGCCCATCAGTGACTCAGAGGTGGGGTTGCCCAAGATTTTGGCCAATCAAGCTCCATTGGTTCAGAAATGGGCCCTCCATAGGAAGGAGCCCATAACTCAGAAATACAATGAGCAAAAGGGAATAGAAAAACCTTGTTCATGTTTCTCTTTGAGAAAAGTGTAGAAAGGAATGATGGGTGGAGCTGGTTAGGGAGAGAAGTGTTGGTCATGGAAGAGTGGATTCCCTGAACACCTGTTTTCATTTTCTTATTTCCCACAACACTAATCACCTTCCTCTTCATGAATCGTCTCCAGCAACATTTTGCAAAATCAATACATGACCCGCTGTTTATGGGCACATGCCCATTATTTCTGGCTCTAGACAAAACGCAGCCCCCTGCACGGCAAATTTTCCAGCCACGTGTCTCTGTGAGAACATAGGTCCCTGAACCCAGGGCTGAGATGTGGGCGGCAGCTGACAGACTAGATTTGCTCCTGCGGCTTCTCCTCCTTCGGGTGCTCAGCTCTGTCCCACTCTCATTGATATCTGCAGCAGCAGCTGGCATTGGGGACAGTTATGATGGTGACAGGCACTGAGCTCGGGAGCCCCAGTCCACCAACCACAGCTCTGAGTCTGCAAGCTGCTCATGACAAGGGCAAGTGTTCTTGATTTCTTAAAAAACAAAACAAAAGCAAGATACACACAAATTGTGTGTCTCCTTTCCCATGATTTAAGTCTGATGAATTAAACTTGCTACCCAAAACCTGAATAAAATACCATATAGACCGACAAGAACGATCTAGAGATAATTAGGAAGTTTCACAAAGTCATGAAGCCTCAAAGAGCTGAGGACACTCTGTAGCTAAGTCCACCCAGAATCACACACTTAGGGAATCTCTAGAGACAAGAATCTTCAATCTCATCTAATCCCAATCCATTGGTGGCCTGAAGAGCAGGCAGAGGTGAAATGACCTGCTCAAAATTAGACAGCCAGCTGGTGGGAGGGCGAGGCTAGAATTCACATTTCTTATTGTATTTCCATACTCAAGTTCAACCAGAAAATAAGTACACGCCGAATCCCTATAACAGGTCAAAAGCACAGCTATAGAAAAGCTATTCTCTGGGAATGCACATGAAGTGGAGGCTGGGAAATGGGCAAAATAATATGGGAAGGACCCCCAAAGGTGCCTTTGCCCCTCCATAACCCCTCCTAATAACCTTTCCCCAGTTTTTTTCCTCTATTCCAGCCTCTTCCACAATCTATCCCACGAGTAATACCAACAGCACTCAGTGAACCAGTCGTCAACTCTGACAGGTTTCTGGAAACAAAATTCCAAGTTTCAAGTGTTCAACCCGTCTCACGTCTGCCCTCTAGTGTCCTAAGGTCAATACTGAAGTGGGTGATCCGTGAAGCATTTTGAACTTGAATGCATAAGGATGCCAGATAAAATACAGGACACCTGGTTACATTTGAATGTAAATCTCAACTTTCAGTATTCATATAAATTGAACTAAGTGTCCTGTATTTTTTCTTTGCTAAACCTGGCAACTATTTTGCTGCTGAAGTTCAGGGATTTAAAATGTTTGTGAGAAAAGAAATATGCACACAATTAAGGAGACTATCCTTGGGTTTTTAAGACATCTACCTGAAGAGGATCACCTAAAAATTGGAAAAGACTTTTCACATACACATCAAAATCTACATTACAGGAAGAAACTACATGATAGAAAAAAATATTCCATAAGCTTCTTGTGCCATTAAATTATGGCACTATTGTAGCCTATAAGGTTACTTTAGTTTCGGGCAGAGTTCCCCACCCCCAGGCCCACCCAGGACCACCCCAGTTATTGTGGTGTTGGCTAACATTAATACCTGCTGGAAGCTAGAGCAGCTTCCAGTCCTTTTGAGCTCAGAAGAATGGAAAAAAAAACAACGAACTGGGATTAATATAAAGCCAATTTCTTGTTTCTTGTACTTTGGTCACATTACCCAAGGTTGAGGACCAGAGGACATCCCAGCCTCTCCATCTGAAGGTCTGCTAGTGCTCACATCTCTATTCGACTCTTCATAAGGGTTTCTTGGATTTTTCGCTAGCAGCTTCTGAGTCCTGCAAAAAAACAAAAACGTGAGACCATCTCAAAGCAAAACAGAACAATAGCCCACTCAGTGATGGTCAGGGACAACTACCTTTGCTACTGAAATTTAGGTATTTAAAATGCATGGTAGAGAATAAATATTAAGAAAACCAGAAACACAACTTTGGGTTTTTAAGGCATTTTCTGCAGAACTTTCCAGATGATGTTCCAAGGTTTTGTGAGATGAGGGTGGGAGTCAGAGTGGGGGTGAGGAGGGAGCCATGCATTTATTCATGGACATATCTATTGAGCACTAACTATATCCCAGGCACTGTCCTAGTACTAGGGATATAGCAACCAAAAAACAACAAGAAAGTTCTCTACCTTAATGGATTTACAATTTGGCTGTCTATGGAAACAGTGTCATAGCAATCATGTGACACACACTATATTAGCTCCATTTTACAAGTGAAGCCAGAGGAGCTGGAAGATAACAGGGACTCACCCAGGCATTCAGCTAAGGAGGGCAGCTCAGGAGCTGGGTCATAGTGACACAACGCCTAGGGTCCTCCCACTGGCTTGCTGTGATCCCCTGCTCACCAGTGTTACAGCAAGAACACGAGAAGGGGAAGGCCCAAGAGCATATTGACTCATAGTTGCCAAGCCAGGAAATAGACTAGGTCTCTTGCCTCTAAATTCAGTTTTATAAATACTTATTTCATTGATAAACATTAAGCACTAAGTCATGCACTAGGGGGAGCAGAGAAAGGCAGAGAGATCTAGCGTTAAGGTGAGATCCCTGTCCTCAAAGCAATGGCCTCTAGAAGGGGAGAAACATATAATGTATCGAGCAGCTGTAGAGCGAAGGCAACAAAGGAAATGTGGTGAAGACCACCAGCCAGCCTCAAGAGTCCACAATAGCCCTGCTCTCTTGGGTCCACAGCAGCCTAATGCCCTCGAGGAGGGCATCTCTGTCTCCAGTGGGCCTGCCTGGACATCTGAGCTAGGGCAACAGGAAGGGCGGAGCTGCTGTGAAAGCCACCTCTCAGGAGCTGTGAATGTGACGGATATTTCCAGGAAATGATGTGGGGTTATTATTATTATTATTTTAAAGATATATATCTTTATTGATTTCAGAGAGAGGAAGGGAGAGGGAGAGAGAGAGATAGAAACATCGATGATGAGAGAGTCATTGATCAGCTGCCTCCTGCACGCCCCCTACTGGGGATCGAGCCTGCAACCTAGGAATGTGTCCCAACCGGGCATCAAACCGGATGGGACGATGCCAACCAACTGAGCCACACCGGCCAGGGCTCCTAGTATTATTTAAACATGAACTGGGAATTGAACCTGCGCAGTCTGAGTGTAGAGCCCATGATCTTAAGCACTACGCTATGATGCAGCAGGATCTCAGCCAAGCACATCTTGAATGGTGTGTTGGATTCTCCCCAATACAAGATAGTTGATACCCGAGTGGTTGAGTAGCACCAGTGAGCGTGGCTGGATTTTTATCGGCTGGTGGTGGTAGGTACCCGCACATCCCCAGAGGCTGGGGCCTATTCCTTAAGTGGGTCTCCGGTTTTCCAGCCATAAAATGATGAGACTGAATTCGATAACTCAATAAAGTTCCCGTCAGCCCCCAAACGTTACGACTTGCTGATTTTGTACAGCACAAACTGCAACGACATAAAATGTTTCTCAGTATCGAGGGTCGTGGAGGATGCTGCCCTACTTTTTAAGAAAACGGGGCCCGGCCGGGCGTGGCTCAGCGGTTGAGCGCCGACCTGGGATCCAGGCGATCGGGGTTCGATTCCCGGTCAGGGCACATGCCCGGGTTGCGGGCTCGATCAATGACTCTCTCATCATTGATGTTTCTATCTCTCTCTCCCTCTCCTTTCCTCTCTCTGAAATCAATAAAGATATATTTTAAAAAAAAAAGAAAGAAAATGGAAACCCAGCAGCGTGATGCCGATCCCCTCACCCTAATGTAGTGTCGATTTTTTTAAGTTAAATGTACAAACATTGTTTCACAGTTTTTAACTTGAAATTATTGACAATTATTCCAAGAACCAGAAACTTCCTTCCAAGTTGCCGAAGATCCTGATTATTCGCTGGAACAAAAGTTAATAGTTTGTGGGAAATCAACTCACAGGAAGGCAGGCAGGAAAAAATTACAGTTGTGCAGGCTGTGCGGGGAAAGCAGGTGCAAGAAACAAGTGGGACACAAAACGTGCCATTCCGTGACAGCCCCGTGAAGCACACGGGCGCGTGGACAGCCGCCGGCTTGGAGGAAGGAAGGGGAAGCCACCGCCGCCCCAGAGCAGGGAAACCCGCACCACGTGTGGTCCTTCAGGGGACTGCGCTTTCGGAGGGCAGTCAGGGTGCAGGCCGTCCTCCCGAGGGGCAGGTGGCAGGGGGTCGCGAGAGGCTGGAAGTGCCAGTGGAAAGAGTCACCTGTAGTAGTGAGCGCCCCACAGCCCCAGGAGCAGCAGCAGGACGAGCACCACCACGCAGACGGCCACCACGGTGACGTTCCGCTGCCGCCCGTGGCCCGCGTGGCGCAGCTCCCACCATTTCAAGTCTCGGTGCTGACATCGCTCCCCAACGTAGCCAACAACACAGCTGTGACAACACACAAACAGAGGTGAGCTGTTAGGCCCGGGCAGAAACGCGTGTATCTTTCAGTCTCGATATCCAGCCGTCTCAGCCTCCGCGTTTCCACACTCAGCTTTTTGGAAGCACATGGAAAATCCATCAGGGGTGGGCCGCAAGCTCTCTGCTTTGCGAGTCGATGCTGCACGCCCCCCCCCCGCCCCGTCTGTTTGCCC